GACTTTGTTATTAGATAAAATGAATATTGATAAAGTTTACCTTTATGTACAGAATCTGAATATCGCAAAATATTTTAAAAAATTGCAATAATATCGTATCGTGCATTAAGTATTGTGATAATATCGTATCGTGGGATGTATGGTGATTCCCACCTCTAGTAGACTTGGAGGGGGAAAGGGGAAAGGGATAAAAACTGCTGGAGGGAAGGAAATGGGGACACTGTTTGAGTCAGAGCTTTGGATTGAACAGTCAGAAGAGTAAAAATGAGAAAAGAGTGAGGAGAGGTGAGGAGGAGGAAAGCAGTCATTAGGGCTTCCTACATTTTCTCACTCCTAAATTACAAATGCAGGGAAATATGCCAGAGAACAATTGACAAAGGCCCAGAAACTCCAAGTATATGCACAATCGCTGGCCACTGTATTAGGTACACTTTACAAGTAATGGTTTGGACCCACTATAGCAGTCAGAACGGTCTTAATGCTTCACTTTGGCAAAGTGCTGGAAACATTCCCCACATATTTTGGTCCATATTAACATGATAGGATCACACAGTTGCTGCAGATTTGTCAGCTGCACATCCCTGATGTGAATCTCTCATTCCACCATTAAAGGTTCGACGTGTTGTGCATTCAAAGACATTCTCCTGGTTGTGGTTATTTTAGTTGCGACTGCCTTCCTGTTTGGCCATTCTCCCCTGACCACTGAGATCAACACTGGATATTCACCGCGAGGACAACCTCTCACTGGATATTTAAAAATCTTTTTGGTCACCATTCTCTGTAAACCCTAGAAATGACCCAGAAAAATCCCAGTAGATCAACAGTTTGATAAATACTCAAATCAGCCCACCTGACACCAACAAACATGCCACATTCAAAGTTACTTCAGTCACATTTCTTCTCAGTTCTGATGCTCAAGTTGAACCTCAGAAAATCACCCTGTCTATATCTACATGCCTAAATGCATGGAGTTGCTCCCATGTGATTGCCTGATTAAAGAGTGTGCGTCAGTTAAAACCTCCACAGATTTATATTTAATAAAATAAAAATAAATAGTGAAGCCTTAAAGCACACATTGCCTCATTCGTGACTTTATACTAAGTCTGAGCCCTCTGGTGTTTGAACAAACATAAAAACAGTGGAGTCAGATGAGAGCAGTTAACACAAGAATGAAATTACCTCAAAATGGATTCAAGAAAACACACACACTGGAGATTGCACCACATTTCCTGTGTATACTGAGTCTACTCTGTACATGGCTGCATGTTTTTGATGTCACATTTAATGGTTTCCTGCCAGCACAGCTAGAAACTGTTTGCGGTTTGAACATCTCAGCTTAGTCATAGTTATTTGCTGGTAATATCACCAGAACTTCACAAGATAAATCACATCTTACTTCTACATTTCTAAATTTGAACCATGTGAGCATGCTCTGGGCCTGTAGGCAGGGGCGGATCTAGAGAAATTTTCTTAGGGTGGCATGAGGGAGGCAAAGAAATCAAATGGGGTGGCAAAATCAAAGCCTTTTTTTGTCAAACACATATGCAGGTGGTTATTGATTCAAATGCAGTAAGTATACACGTTTTTCATATAAATATAGTCTGTAACTTAATTATTGTCTGTAGCCCACATAATTAAACACTTTAGTTACATAAAACAAGTGAGTTTTGATTGTATGTACTGTATAGCCTGTATAATAAATACATATGTAGCCCAATAAGTATAAAATCCAGAAAGCTACACAACATGGGGCGGTTGCTTTACAAACACAAGTCTAACTTAAGTTTCACACTGTTTTTTGTTAGAAAACAAACACATTGTTACAGCTTAAATTACACAAAATGTCAGAAATCTGCACTGTCATTAACAAAAATTTAAACCTAATTTTTCATGATTTGTTGGATTAACCCACTGAGGTCTGAAATACAACCGGCCATTTTTGACTCCTTTTGAGTTTATGTTTGTATTTCACCCTCAAATTGTTTCATTTTATTTTTTTTCCCCCTGCCTTGTTTGGTATCTTTTCAGCTCAACTGAATTTAGTTGTTTTTTTCACTGACATACTGCATTAGTGTTACTGATCTGAAATCACACAAAGAACTTAAAATCCTAGTAGTATTTGCAGGTGTTGCAATAAGATGCCCCACAAATTATGTATGCCAGTACAAAAAAAATGTTTTTCCACCAAAAGACAGAGGAGAGCAGCACAGGGATAAACCTGCAGGCCTGACAACAGGAGGTGTATCACTCCGCTGGTTTTCTACTTAGTGAGAGTGTTTACATTGCAAATGTGCCTTTGTGACATTCATTAGTGCCCTCACTGACACACAAAACAAGAGGACTACACAACAGAACACCTACACAAGACAACACAACACACTAAGTATACACTCCACACTAAACGTCACAAATCTCCCACATCTAAAAACTCTCTCTCTCTCTTTCTCTCTCTCTCTCTCTCTCTCACTGGCTGCTCTGTCTCGCTGTTGTTACAGTCACTCCCAAAACGTTTCCCTCTTCCTAAACAACCAAATCCCACTTGTTGACTTTTTTTTAAACTGGTTGACATGGTACATTTTTCCACCGATAGGAAAGAGGTGTTTTTTTTCCCTTTCTTTACTGTTTTTGCGCTGTCCTTAGAAAACGCTTAAAAGACACACACACAAAAATGTGACGACAGTATTTAGAAAAAAGCGTGTCTTATATATATTATCATAACTCTGGATTTACTGGCCTGTAATTAAAATTAAAAAAAACTTTGAAGTCCGAACTTTCAATATGGGCTGAAATAGAGACTCAGCGTGGCTGCAGCTTGTTGCTATGTCAGCTTAAATCAGTCATGTGATTTGGAGGTGCAGCCTGTCGGTGGACAACAGAGGGTTAATAACACTCACCTTCCTTCCATTTCCAGAGTGTAACAACCAACCACCTGTGTGAAATCTGAAATTCCCATGGTGTTGTTCAAAATGTGCTCTGGCACAATCATAAGCATTGCTTGCTACTGAAAACAAGAAAAAAGCCGGTCCTGCTATGGGCTGAACCATTTGTTAACGGTGGAGGGGGGTAACACTATGCAATATATTTAGTTTTAGCATTTATATTCACTGTTGACTGTAACTACGCTCAAAGTGTTAATGCTATCTTATTTTAATAAGCAACACTGTCATATGCAAAGCTGGGGTGGCACTTGGGGTGGCAAGGGATGCCACCCTTCTAGATCCGCCCCTGCCTGTAGGTGATAGCTGCTCTTGTTATAGCTCAGAAAAATACGTTATTGCTACATCTATTAAAGCCACGCCTCCTGTGATAGGTTTAATATTCATATCATCCTTATATCACAACAAGGAACAGCATTAATTGATTTGTAATGAGCGGCATTAATCATATTTTTTCTTAATTGATTTCCTTAATCAAATCCATCTTCATTCCTTCATGCCTAATATTACAATGATGCACAGATGTCAGAGGCAAGCATTCCTTCTTTTGTTAGAAAGATGAAAATTCAACCTGTGCTCAATCTAAACGTATGCAATAATGACACCGGGTCAGATGTGAATCGTATATAGACAAACTGTTTCCACAGACTACAACAGGTCTGCCTCTGAAATAGATACCATGAGGCAGAGGGCAAACGTGCTGTGTTGGCGTCATCAGCATCATAGCAGTCGAGAGGTGTTTGACCTTTAATGTGTAGGTAATGTTATGAAAACCAAACCATGAAATTTAAGTGAAGAGAAGAATGTGTGGTTCCAGACATGGTTCAAAAACTTCTTTCCATCTAGAGTTTGTATAACACCACACTGGCCTTCTAATGCTGATTTTTGCATTAGTTGTCATTCTTCCTCATGCACATTGTGGGTGTTTACATTACAATATAAGGCGCCCTGAGGGGACTGTTGCTGTGATTAGGTGCTATATGAATAAAACTGATTTAAACTGAAATGGTATTCTGCTGTGACATCCTGCTTGGTGAAAAATGTCAGTAAAGCGTTACCAAGTGCATCAGAATGTGACAAGGAGCAAGCGTCAGTATGTGATGAGTTCAGAATAAGAATGTGTTGTAATATGTGCAAACTGTAGTATTTTTAGTGCAATAATGTTTATTTGTATGGGAATAAGCATGCAACTTCAATGAGTTCCACACAACA